TTTTTGAGCATGATTATCTGCTACAAACACGCGTTACACAAACGACTAGTCTATAGCAATACTAACGATCCCGTAGGCGTCGTCCGTACTAATCACGTTATCCAACCGTCCTGACTACGTGTAGTCCCACATCCGAAGAGAAGGAGGCACGAAGGCCTCGACGACTCCATTAGCCGGTTGGGATAAAAAGGTACGAGGGTCCCAGACCCGCCTCGCAAAAAGGCAGACTCTACTAGCGACACTAAAGGACCCTTGGGGACCAGTAGTCTACAAGCCATTGAAAGTCTGGTTACGTCGTGTCGGATTGGTAAAACCCAACACTTCGTAAGATGAAGTCTTTGGGCCTTAAGATCAGGTCGTCGGGCTAGCTAGGCTTCAACGAACAAGATTTTACACTTGTGGGGCCCAAAGATAGTGCGTAGAGGTCTGTGCACATTTGCATGTATAATGAATTCCCAATCGTTAGTTGTATGGATCGTAGTATTGAATTATCATAGTGTCGTCGTGTTAGTGGTTTCGGATTTTTATTAGTTCGAGACCGAACCAATTCGTTTAACAACGACTTTTGGTGTTGTAATGTATTGTATTTTGTCGATAGTCATAGTACCATTATTTGGTCAAATTGCATGTATTGAATTAGTCTTGGAAATTTTCTGTTTTCAGCCCCTCCTTGTTTGTAAAATTTACTTTTTCAACCCTTTATTTAAAATACTTTCCGGTTTGGTCCTTAAATCAATTTTTCTTGACATTTTAACACCAAAAATTATTACAATAAATATTTTCCAGCATATTTTTCATAGAAAACAGCTTAAGTCCCTGAAATTTCAGTTTTTCTCGGTTATAACCCTTCTTTTCGCAATTTTGACAATTTTGGCCCAAATTGTAAAATTTTTGCAATTTTGGTCCTTTTTAAATTTAAAAAAGCATTTTTAAACCTTTAAAAAAGGACTTGGATTACTTATGGTCCACTATTTTACAGAAAATCACAGTTTTGGCCCTCCAAAACAGAAAAATTCGCATAATGGGCCTCATTGGGCCGAAATTGTCATTTTTAGCCCATTAAGCTTGAAATTTATGTTTTTAACCTTCTAAATGAGTAAAATTCCAGAAATTGTTTTATTGAAATTGTTTTGACACACTTCATCCATCAGAATTCGTGAAATGTCAATTTGGGCCCTTAATTTTGTATTTTTCACATGTTAGGCCCAAAATTTGTGTTTTTAGCTTAAAGAAAATTGTCACTAGACCACTTAACTATTTTTCTCGAAACACTTTGTACGTAGAAATACATTTGATGCTAAATTCCTATAACATAAGTTATATCTCGGTTTTGAGGAGTTTTATGGCTAGATCCAACATTAAAGCACATAAAAGCATACATATAAGCATGGAAATCATACAAGGCATATAAACACATATAGATCTACACTTTCACTTGTATTCCCCCCCCCCCCCACAAAACTCATAAAAACAGAAAATAGGGGTATGAAGCTCACCTTGAGTGTGGGCGCTCGGTTTTGCAAAGAAAATGGAAGGAAAATGAAGTGTTTTTGGCCTTAACCCCCTTCCTTGGTAGATCTCGAGTTTGAGATGGTTCTAGGGTGCAAAATCACGATTTTTGCATAGATTAGGAAGGGATTTTGATAAAACAAAGAATTTAGTTCATAAATCCAAGCAACTCTTACCTTAGATGGAGAATTTTGTGGAAATTTCCTCTTGAATGCCTCCTAAAACTCGAGATTTTTGAGTGGAGAGGAAGGAGAGTTCTTGAGTGATCTAGAGATAATTTGTGAGAGATTTGTGAATGTGTGTGTGTGTGTGTTTCGGCCGAGAGGGAGAGGGAGGAGAGAAGAGAAGTGATTTTGAAGTGATGTGCATGGAGGTATGTGAGATATTTTGCATGGAAGTCCTTTGTATAATAATGATGTGGCACAATAAGTCAACTCTTCCATCTTCTTGGGCTGGTGCATTTGGGTCGAGAATTTGGCAAGAAAAGGAAAAATTTGGGCCTTTGCCCCTAAGCCCAACATTAGAGTTAGTTAGGGTGTGTTTTATACCTAAAAGAATGTGGTAGGATTTTTACATTTTTGTTGGACTAGTTTAGGTTATTCATGGAGCAACGCTTTTAATTCATTTCATTCTAGGCCCACCATAGCCCAAAATGTTGAAATAAACTAGTGTGGGTCCAATTAGAGTCCAATTAGGGTTCTAAGCCCTTGATAGTCAAATTGGAAGCTTATTGGTCCATGTGGATCCAATAAGGAAGTTCTAGTCCAAAATGGACTTAACAAGAACTTCTAGGGTTTTCCAATTGTTTGATGTAGTGAATTGGGGTTTAGTTTCCCATTGAGTAAGCATCATACTTGTTTTTGAGTTTTTTTTTTTTCAACATTTACTTGAGTATAGTGATTACAAGACGTAGAATTTCTAGTTGTGACAGTCTACTGTTCCTTTGTCAACTAAAAAGTACATTCTCCTTAGTTTATAACCTACCTCAATTTGAGAATAGATCAACCTTCAAGTGTTACCGACACTTTATGAAAGTAATGGGAGAAAGTGAGTACCCTGATGTCGTTTATAATGACATACGGAGGTACTATCAACCTAAAAACATATGTGTGTTTTATTACGGTCATAATGTGAAAGATAGAACCCCTACTAACCCGCTCTCATGTATGGAGATTGAGGGAACCAAACGCGACCCGAGCAAATCCATGCAAGCCGTGTAATTCACATTAAAGTTAGATACCGTCTGCGTGTTGTCATGCTATAGCAAATTTACTTGTTTGTTATGTTATGTTCTGGTATTGTTTGATTCTCTTTACTGTTTGTTCTATTCTGTTGTGTTGTGTTCTGTTCTGTTCTATGTGGGCTTCATTGTACTAGAAGTAATGAATAGCATTCTCCTAAACTATACCTATAATAGTTTACTAATGTTCTAACTGGACTGATACTGAAAAGACTCATTTATCTACAAAGTTATGCTTATACTTTAAAAATGGAGTTTTGTATAACTATAAAGTAACATAACCTTTAGAAGAGTTTTGAAATGTTTTTAGCAACTTATATATAACATAAGTAACATTTTGAAAGAATGCTTAACAACAAATAATTACACAATTATCATTGTGTTCAACTTGTATTCCCCCCTTAAAACAATTAAAATAGTTAAAAGATTCATTAAGGGGTATGAACTCACCTGATGTGGGTGATTCAAACGGGTATGCGCGTATGGATGAGAAGTTCCACGAATGAAGTTCCGAGACACAATAAGTCCTAAATGATATTTAAGGACACATAATGACATGAATATAGTGTTTATAAACAACTATATGAAAGGAAACACCTTCCGGGACTAGGAAACACCTTCCGGGACTAAGAAACACCTTAACCAAGTGTTGGAATCACATGTGATTCAACCTAGGAGGGTACAAAGGCACTTATTTAGGGACATTAGCTGTAGCCTAGGGTGAGAAATACCACCTTCTTTTGAGTTTTTGAGGTGTTCACGTCCCAAATGAGTTTACAACCATAAACTCATGGCCAAATATTCTTATGAGGGTCCAAAAGTTCATAAAGAATCATTCTAAATTCATGCCTAAGCCCTTGGAAGTGTTTGTTGCATCAAAACACCTCTATTTTGAGTTTACGGCCCATGGACCCTTTGGTCATGTGTTTGCGGCCGTAAACACTTATGGGAGATGATATTTTGATTGTTTTGAGTCCTAAACACATCCAAGTAAAGTTCTATGCTTGTCTCTTGGGTTATGGAAGGCATTTAGGGCATTTTGGCACCCTAAAATGGAGTTCATGGCCCAAGAACTTCCTTGGCCGTGAACTAACTTTTGGTCCTTGATTTTAATTGCTTTTGATGCCTAAACATGTCAAGGTTTGTCCCATGTTTGGTTTCCAAGGTCTAGGGGTCATTGGGCACACTTTGGCCCTTGAAATGGAGTTTACTCCCCAAGGTGTTCTTGGGCGGTAAACTCACAGATCTTGGTGTTTTCCTATGATTTCTAGTGTATTAAGCATATATAAAGCTTTAAAACAACACTAGATAGAAGTACTCACTTTCCGGAACAAAAGTCCGAAGATCCTTGAGAGAGAATTTGGCTTTTCTCTAGTTGGAATTGTAACTAATGAATAATTTGGTTCAGAATTCTATATATAGTCCTGGGATTTTTGGCAGAAAATATTTTATTCCCGGAAAGAACTCTAATATCATAGAGTTTTGGAATAATAGAATTGCACAAGACCCAAGTGCAACCTCTCTCCTGATATCTCCTTAAGTGTAAATCCTGAGTTGCTCAAACTTGTCCCAAAAGTTTGAAAGTTATAAGAAACACACTTGGCTTCTATTGAAGTGGAAATTTTTGGGTTGTCACACTAGGGTTTCCACACGTTTTGGGCAGCCTCCTTCTCTTCTCTTCTTCATCCTGTAGCTCTTGGTGTTTGTGAACCATTAGAGGAGTGACATTTGTGACTCTCATCTTTCTAAAGTCATTACCAGGAGGATTTGGGATTGTTATTGCTACATAACAATCAAGGTATGATCTAAACCCTAATTCATATGTTATATTGATTATCATATACTAGATCTAGGGTTTGAAGTCTCGGATGAGTTGCATGTACAATAGAGAAACCTAGATCCAAGCATTAGGGTTTGTATGAGCACATAGGATGTTCTTATGGCTAAAACCCATCAGTTTTTTACAACTTATTATGCTAAACATTCCACGTTTTATAAAAATTTATTGTTATAAAACTCACGGAGTCAAAACCAATGGAACTCACCAACAATTTTTGTTGACATATTTTAAAAATGTGTATTCTTAGGTAACTAAGGAGCCGGAGGTATGACATCGGTTTTAAGGAAATTATAGTTCCTTTCTTTTGGGAATAATAATGAACCGTTTTAATTTACTATTTTGTGTTTAAACTATGAATATGTAATTTCAATTCCAACACTTTAAGGTTTGTAATATATTGATTTATATATGTTAAGTGTTTGATATATGTGGTTGACTTGTGATCCAATTGTAAAACGTCGCAACCCCTGTGATTTTCGCCGTCGGTCGGGATGTGACATCAAAAGATAGGGAATGAGATGAAGTCCCTACTCCATTGATCAACAAAGGCTCCTCGCGTTGAAAGGAATCTTCAAGTGAACTCAGTGCGCCCCCAAACATTGAGCCAAAACCAGGATTAACCAAGGGAGAACCAACGATTGGCGTAGGCGACGCTACCGGATAGCTACGCACCACCACTACCTCTTTTGGCTCAGGCATAGAAAATTGACCGCCGAGAATATCCCCGATACCACCAAGAAGCATGGACACAGATACAGTCCTATGATTTTCTGAGGACGAAGACCCACATCATCATATTCTCTCTTCTCATCCGACGATGACACCACACGCAAACTACGCCTCCTTCAAACAGGAGCATTATCTCTTCTTGTTTTTTCTCCCATAGGCAAACTACAAGGGACGTAAATTGGCGAAAGAACCAGGGAAACAACGCCAATGGTCGGCTGGTAAGGTGACGCATGCCCGCGAGAACCCACATTTCCCTTTCCACCACGGGCAGTCCGGCAAGCTCTTGCATGCGTCTTTCAGATAACCGAGGAGTAAGAGTCTCTGTAAGATCTATCTCATGATGGCAAAGCTTGCAATTATAATGACCATGCAGAGCCATCTCCAAAGAAATCTCAGCCTCAGCACCTGCGAAAAAAAACGCCTTAAGTAAAATCCCTCCAGCCAGCAAGATATCCTATCCTCACTCTATTTTCAGAAAAATAGGGGGGAGAAGGAGAAGGGTTATTACCGCATCTCACGACGAACATTAGTGCCATTTTTCTGCGAGCCCTCCAGGCAGCAATCATATTGGCCACTGCAAGAATGAAGTCTTCCCTGTTCCACCCAGTAATGGTGATGTTTCCCAGATGCTTACCAAGAGTCAGATTACTCCCAAACAACTTGGGGAGGCGGTTAGAAAAATTTCGGGTCCTACGATATCCGTGTCCCCCAAGGTTTTGGTTAACCCAAAGCCACTGACGTTGCTGATTTTTCCTTGGAGCGTCTTGTTCAGAAATCAACTGACGAATGCCTCTTCTTTTAGCCAAAGTACGGACCCTGGAATCCGTAGTCAAGCAGAAGAAGTAACTGAAAACCCAGAAAGTTGGTACATAACCCAGAGATCGACAAATCAGTTCAAAACCAAAGATTTTATTAACTATGCTCGGCATCAACTCGTCGACGGAAAGACCATAGTGGTCTGTAATCATGTTGAAGAAGTCAGATGTCGGTAAGGATAATCCTACTTCAAAAGAGGGATCAAAATCTCCACTTTCTCTTTAGGGCGATCGTAGATTGACACCCACTTTGACGGAATTATTACGCCGAGCTCAGGTAAGAAACCAAAGCGATGTTGCAAAAATTGGAACTCCTCGGCAGTAGGGACTCTACCGTAACAGTCCATTGTCGGAGAAAGGATGAAAAATCGAAGAAAAAATTAACATGATATCCGGATTGATGCAACAAAGCCGAAATGGGGTTATGAGGATGAAGAGACTGGGAGAAAAGGGGGACGTTAAAGGCGAAACTAGCGTCACGAACCGTCTCTCTATAGGACTGACACGCAATGATGGCGATGCCTAAAGCCTTTCAAACGACGAAACTAATCACGGGCATACACGTGTTGAGATATAGACTCGAACGGCCACGCTATCAAAATGATGCATACACCTATGTGTCTAAGGGACAATTAACGCATCCCTCCTGGGAACGTCAAGAAAGAAGTCAAACTAACATCGGGCTTGGCCTGGTCAGAACCTAGTCTAAAGCCAAGTTCGGCTCTTCTCCAATGCGAAGAGCGCTGATATGGCGGTTAAGGTGTTGAACCACGCCTTAGCCCCTTCTCCAAGAAGTTGTTCCCCGGTAAACCTGAGACCAATTGGAGAGTCCCATGCGCCCATCAAACGATAGCCACGATCTTCGTAAACATTTAGAAGATCACCTCCCAGTCACTGAGGGCACAAGGCAAAAGACGTGACGAAGGACCTTCCAATATGGATCCGCCACGTCGCACCTCATGAGGGAATGTTCAACAGAATTAGTAGATGATACACCCAAGAAACAGGTATAAAAGGATCCTTCTTCCTCACTAGGAAGGGGACAAAATTCTCTATTTCCTGTAATCTTCTGTTATCTTTCTCAGATCTCATACTGACTTGATAGTCGGAGCTTCGACCCGGGATTCCTCCCGGACGCTGACTAATGGTCATTTCCATCTTATTCACTGTGATAACATGACAATGTACTCATGTACATCCCTACAATAGTTCCAATTCCATCCTCTCCAACATATCACAACAATACTACTACTACTACTACTACTACTACTACTAATAATAATAATAATAATAATAATAATAATAATAATAATAATAATAATATGTGTTTTATATAATTTTCCAAATTTCTTGTTATGCATTATTGATGAATAGAACATCTAATTTATCAACAAACATAGTCAAATAAACACAATTACCAAATCTATGTCATTGGTAAATGTGAATTATATGATTAAATCTTTACCAATTTTTGATGCTGCTTTATAACAATTACAGTTACTATATTGATGTTATTTGTTTCACATTAATTAATAATATTGTCTTCTTAAAAGTTGGAACACGATAATATCATTCGCTTGGAATGGTTTAACAAGATATCATTCATTTGAAATGTTTTAACAAACTACATTGGAATATATATATATATATATATATATATATATATATATATATATATATATATATATATAATTGAAATATTTTTGCATGTACTTATTTGATGCACTATGAAAATATTCTTTTTCTTATATTGTTTCCTTGTAATCACAACTTATGCATCTACAACATCTCCACCCACAAAGGCATCATCCAAAGATAATATTTCAGTAGGTCGATCACAAGATGTGAGAATCGTAAATGATATTAAAGATCCAATTGTCGTCCATGTACGATCAAAAAATGATGATCTTGGAAAAACTACACTTGCATATAGAGCTGAAAAACGTGTGAAGTTCCAAGAAAATCTGTTTGGGGGTACTCTATTTCATGCTGATTTCTATTGGAAATCCAAGACTGCAGCCTTTGTCATTTTTGATCAAAAAATACGTCACAGATACTGTGAAGGAGGTGTGGATAACATGTGTAAGTGGTCCATGCGAGAAGATGGATTCTACCTGTCAGGCAATGGCAAGCCTAATGACCCTGCAACCAAGTTACATGATTGGTCATGAGTATTGTATTCTACATCTGTTGACACACACACACACACACACACACATATATATATATATATATATATATATATATATACTAAGCGAATGTCCGCACGTTGCGCAGAAACAACTATATCCTTGAAATCTTTACAAATACATTATCTTTTAAATATAACAATAATGTTGTTATTAAATTTGATATAATAACTCGTATACTAAATTGATAAAAATATATTGATTATTTTGAGTTATATGATAATATATACATCTATTATAACTGTATAATCTCAATCGTTTGAATGACTTCTATCCGCGAGTTACTTATGAATAAAATTAAATATAATTTCTGTTATTATAATTATTTAAAACATCAAACATTATTTTTTGATTTTAAAGGTGACAATATAATCATTTATATAGAGTTATTTTTAACTATTTTTTATTGTAAGTTATTTTAAGCTACGTATTTTAAAACATTTAACGATTACAAAAATATCTTTAGAAACTATTTTAGTTAAATTAAGATTACAATTTAGTTTTTGAATTTATCATTTTTAACTATTTACAAAATATTCTTTGGTTTTTAAGTGGAACTGATATTTAAATTTAAGTTGACAATGTAATGTTATATTTAAATTAATAGTTTAAGTATTTTATCCAAACTGTTCAAAAGTTGTAGCTTCAAATTGATAATGGTTTACATACAACAACATTTTAAATCTATTAAATTAAGTATAATATTTTAAATGTCAAAGACAAAACTTAATAAGTAGAAGTAAATATATTATTTTAAAACTGAAATTTAGTTTATTTATGATTACACTTTAGGTTCAACATTTCGTCATCCAAACTTATTCTAAAATCGATTCAGTAAACTTTCGATTGTTTTTCGACCAAATACCCAACTCTTGGATGTCAACATACCCTTCCATTCCTATCGATTCTAGTATTGATTTCATACGAACATCAATTTTGACTTTTTCATCTCATCTTTGATTTTTCAAATTTGTCAAACAACAAACACAAATTGAAAACATTATAGTTCAGATTAAACGTTGTACGAACAGATCTATATCACTTCTTCATCGTGATTTTGTCCAAGATTTATAAAAGCTCAAAATTAATTTCAGATTTCAAAGTTTAGAGACGAACAAATCTGATTTCAATACATACACATCATCTGAAATCGATATCTAAACTCAAATTAATAATCAATAACAAATGATTATTAGAGATGAAGGAATAAAATCGGGACTCAAGAATAATCGACTAATGAACAATCTGTGAAAGAGCAACAGATGAAGAATGGAAATATACTTTGGAACAAATGTACAACTCAGTAATGCAAATGTACAAATCAACAGATCCTCAATTATATGATATCAACCAATATAACATACGAATGGGCTTGAGGTATTATGATTACAATATTATATTGCAAATTGGGCTTTATGAATATATGAACAGTAAATTTCAAAATTTAAGCAAAATAAGTTTGATTTTAGTTTTGATCTTGAACAAAAATAATTGGATCAAAAATTGGGATTGAAATGAAATAGATCCAATGAGGCAAATCGATCAAAAATGAATAACACAAACTACGAATCGAAACCATGGATGTTTTGGAATCCATTTGAGAATTTGTGATACCTTTTTGACGAATCGAGTTTTTTTTAACGAACGAATCAAATTTAGAAGATCTTTGTTCTTTTGTTGGAATTAGAAAATCTCCAATTTGAACATTATACCACCCACTATGCGAGATGTACAACTCGTTCTTTGTGTTCTTCAACGATCAAGAACATCTTCAAAAGAACCACCAACACATTTGGGTTTTGACTTCAAATTCAATGCAACCTTTGGAGATTGTTGCTTTGGAACCCAAATTTGCTTCACGGATTTCGGCTTCACAACATTTGACAATTTTTGTGAGTAAATCTGCTTGTTTTTTCGATTGATCTTCTTCTTCTTTTTCTTTCTCATCTTTTTGCATCTTGAGGACATGACTTCATGAACAAACCCACTTTCTAAAACATCAACTTTGTGAATTTGAATAAAATCTTTTGGAGTTTGATACTTGTGAATTTCTTGGATCACCGGCTTCCAATAAGGAATCATTCCTTCAAACGAATCACAAGAACACAAAATATCATCGGTTTGAACTCCAATCGACCAAAAAACTTTTTCATCATAAGAATCAACTTGAACTCCTTTTTCTTGAAAATCAAGAACATGATGATCATCATTAAGAACAGCTTCAACAAACTTAAGAGCATGAAGATCACTTGGGTTTTCAATAAGGGAAATGTAGCATTTATTAAACAAATATCTTTCTTCCGCTTCTTTTCGGTTATCGCTTGCAAATAACTTCATAATGAAAATATCATACAAACATTCAATCTTAAAACGCGGTTCAAATATCAATCTTCCATGATCATCCTTCAAACCTCCATAAGAAATCAAAGTTTCTTGCGAAATCAACCCACTTAACACCAATCCATAGAATTGATATTCGTTGACTTTGTATTTCAAATCTTTAACAATCACAACCGAAGAATCATACTCCAAATGCATCATGATAACAAGAACTTGAAAATTTCTAGAGAGAGAAAGTGATTTTTAATGGGTTTTCTAGAGTGAGAAAGTAAAAATCACTTGAATTCTAGTGAAGAAAATCGAATTTTGAATAGAATCAAATATGAATTCAATTTCTAGAACCCAAAAACTCTCTAAATCATGAAGATCAATAAGAACATGAAGAATCACCAAATCAAGATAGCCATCAAGGATCAATTTTTGATCCAATCAAGAACACCCGCTCTGATACTAATTATAGTGGTTTTAATTATGATGACATGTGCGGAACAAGAAAAGATCTAGTGAATCATCATACAAAATCAAGAACACATGTAGTAAATAAATCATTTTAAGCTCATATTATATCTATAAAGGATATACAAATAGGTTTGTACACAATTTCTCTCTCTAGTCCAACACTCCAAATGGTTCCATATATAAAATGATTGCCACTCATTTCCTTATAAAGGAAAAGCAACTCATTACACATACAACTGGGTAAAGCCTCATCCAAGCGTGACTTTGCACGCTAACGTTCTCTGCCCAAGACCTACTCGGCGAGTCAGTCCACTGACTCGTCGAGTTCACACATTAAATCCACATGGCAACTCGACACAACTCGGCGAGTCAGGGCTTCGACTCGTCGAGTCTCTCCATAAACTTCAAAATTGAATCTCAAAAATAAAGTACCTGAAAATCCGGATGTTACAGAAAGATTTAAAGGCTTTGCTAACTAAAAATGCAAGTTATGTCACTAAACATATCTAAGCTTAAATTTCAGCTTTTCACAGAAAAGTTGTGGGCTGTTCACGGATTGGTTTGCCCTTCGTAAACTTAATGTATTTAAAAAATGTACAATATAGAAATATGTCAGGTTTATACCTATCCAAGGACTGACCGCACGCATTCATATGATTTTTTTTACAATTTATAATGATTTTTACAAAAATGCCTATCATTTCATAACATTTTCGGACCAGTTATTAAAAAGGAACATTTTTACTCTTGTTATGAACCACTTTAGGTCATGGTAAAAATTATGGCCAAAATAGACTCATTTCCTAAACTTTGAGAGTTTACAGATCTAGATTTTGACTTACCATGATTTTTCTATGATTTTCTAAAAACATGGATATAATTGCCCTTTTGATTTATCTTGCTGTTTAGACATCCAAATGCATATACAAATTTTTGTTGTAAATGAGAAATACATAAATAATGATATTGTTTAATTCACACATATTTTAATAGTTATATAAGTGTAAATTATAACAGGTATTTCTAATATGATCATGGTGACAACCTCATCAGATAAGATGATATGAACAATGTCGATTTTGGTCACTCGCAGCCGGGGTGTTGTATAAACTTTGTTAGTCACTTACAGTCGGAGTACTGTCTAAACATATATATGGTCATTTACAGTCGACGTACTGTTTAAACTCGTATAGCGACGTATACGACCGTTGTCCTGTTAGAACTTTGGTAGTTTTACATTTTTAAGCATTACAACCAAAAGTCTTTAAACTCAAACAATATGGAATTATAACAAAGTCCCAGATATAAATATACTAATACACCTTGGGATGAGGCTGTATGTAGTATGAATATTGTCTATAGATTGTTAAACCGATTGTTAGTGTCAATCTATACAAACACTAAATATTTTTCTTTCCAAAAATATGTTAAAATTTACTTTTATTGTAAGTAAGAAACACGGGTACTCGTACTAGATTTCAAGTGTCGGGTCTCACGCGAAGCATATCGGTAATATTTTTCACCCTGTTTTTTACAACTTATTATGTTAAACATTCCACGTTTTATAAAAAAATCTTGTTATAAAAATCACGGAGTCAAAACCTGTGGAAGTCACCAACAATTTTTATTGACATATTTTAAAAATGTGTATTCTCAGGCAACTAAGGAGCCGGAGGTATGACATCGGTTTTAAGGAAATTATAGTTCCTTTCTTTTGGGAATAATAATGAACCGTTTTAATTTACTGTTTTGTGTTTAAACTATGAATATGTAATTTCAATTCCAACACCTTAAGGTTTGTAATATATTGATTTATATATGTTAAGTGTTTGATATATGTGGTGGACTTGTGATCCAATTGTAAAACGTCGCAACCCCTGTGATTTTCGCCGTCGGTCGGGATGTGACATCAAAAGATAGGGAATGAGATGAAGTCCATACTCCATTGATCAGCGAAGGATCCTCGCGTTGAAAGGAATCTTCAAGTGAACTCAGTGCACCCCTAAACATAGAGCCAAAACTAGGATTAACCAAGGGAGAACCAACGATTGGCGTAGGCGATGCTACCGGAGAGCTAGGAACCACCACTACCTCTTTCGGCTCAGGCATAGAAAATTGACTGCCGAGAATATCCCCGATACTGCCAAGAAGCATGGACACAGATATAGTCCTACGGTTTTATG